GTGTTGTATTGATCAGCCCCCCTCTCCCCCCCCCCCCCCTTTGGACATCTCTGGATCCACCCCTGGTAACATTAGTAGTTTCTTGTTCCTGTTCAGTTATTAGTAAGAAACATGGTCCTTGTTTTGTCCACAAATTCTATACAGCAATTAAAATATGCTATTCTTCTTCTTGCGTATGATGTAGCGAGTAATTGCATATAATCAAGTTGCTGTTTTTAATTGACTAAAACAGTTGTAGCTGGATCACCAATGGTACTGGTATGGGTATTTATAATGCAACTCTTATTTGGGGTTATAAAGCGCAGTTCTTTTCCCTGGTCATTGGGTCCACATTCTTTAAGTGTTGCTACTGGTAAATAGCGTAGGAGCAGGCAACTCCACCAGGTACCCATTTATACTCCTGGGTGGAGAGAAGCAATGCAGATAAAGTGTCTTGCTCAAGGACACAAGCTAAATGCACAGCGAGGGATTGAAACCACGACCTCGAGGTTGGGAAACCAAACTGTTCCCGCTGCGCCAAAAAGCTTCCAACAATGAGCAGGTTAACAGCTTGACCCACCATTTACGCTCCTGGGTAAAAAAAAAATAGTTCAAAGGCAACATTTTTACAAAATTTTAATTTTAATGTTTTTGAATAACTTGATACTTATATTTTATGGTTGTGTACTTTTTAAGTGAATTTTCTTACTAAAACAGTGTTATCTTCGCATGTTCTGTAATTCTAGTCCTATTATTTGTACAGGTTAGTTTATCTTTGAGGCCGATTTTCTCAAAACGTGGTTCTCATACACCTAAACTTTAAATGCTAACATCTCTGGATCTATTTATCCTAGGGAAGCCATTCAAAGACCAAATTAAAGCTTATAAATGTAATATTAACTCATTTTTTGATTTTCTAACGATGGGACTCATTTTGTAGTGAGACCTCACATATGCTATTGATCCCAAATGATATAATTGTTTTAATTTTTCTATTATTATTAACTTTTGCTTGCACAGAACACAGGTAGAAGAAATAATAAGCAGTTGATCACCTGTGGTAAAGTGAGGTTTGGTTTTAGGTTGGCCATTATAAAATGGTGCAATAATCCTATCAATATCCTTCAACTGATCTCTTCGAAAACCTCTTCGACAAATAAATCCTCTTGCAACTGCCTATTATAAAGATAGAAAAATAAAAAATTTATTAATAATTTGCTAGTGTTTGGTTCGATTCGAGGTTTATTAGTGACAATATCAAAAGGGGTGAGGAAGTCGAGGGTAGAGGGTTAACTTAGAAAATTAAAGAGTGTCTCATTAAGGATCGTTGAGAAGAGTTTAAACTTCAGTGGGTGGAATGGTAGCATCTAGTGAGTGACAGATGAGGGCATTGGTAGTATCATTCACATAGATGGCAACAATGTTCAGATAGATTCTGCAAAGTAGCAATAACTTGGTTTTCAAGGTGTTGCCACTGAAGCTCACTCATCTAAGTGGAACTGTTGTAGTGGTTGCTGAGGAACAATCTTGCAGCATTAAACAGTTTTTTGATTTTATATACCTGGGTCTACAGTAGCTGCGGGGTTCAGATTGAATTGCAGTCTTCAAGGTGAAAATGCACTATATATCAATTGTTAAAATTAAGCACATTCTTTTAGCTTTCTAGGTGATCCTTTTAAAGTTCCTGTTTGCAGTAGGGTAAGCTTACGTTTAGTTAGCCCTGGTTAGCCCAATCAAAGGAGGCCTAACCTTGTCCTAACCTAAGCTGAAAACAATCTTCCTAGAGTCTGAGAGTCGACTATCAGATTTCTGCCATACTGTAGGCCTAGGCCTACCTAGAACTCTATTTAAAAGTATTAAAACCTTCGTGGATCACGACCATAAAACCGGGCCCTGCTACTGTCGAATAGCTAAATAGATGGGTCTTGCCATATGCATGGGGCAGTAAGCCTACAGTAGC